CAGCAGGGCCCAGGCAGCCTGTTTAGCAGCAGTCTCTTGGTTAAAATTCTCACGTTGATGCAGACTGTTTTCACTTTCAGCAGAACAGCATTTTCCAAAAATGTGCTGATCAGCTCTAATTATCAAGGTTACAAACTGAATCACTCAAAAGGTAAGAAATGCCAGAATCTCTGCTGCCTGGGTAACCTTGCTGCTCACATGCACACCCCTTGCACATGCCTTATGATATAGTCTATAATTATCTGATTGCTTGTTATTTTTGCCCCTGTATCATTGGAGGCATGGGATGCACCTGCAGCAGGGATGAATCAGAGTTGAGTAGTGAAGGTGGTTGCTCTCGTTAGACATCCTGTTTTGGTTTGTGTAAAGACATGTAGGCTGAAGACAGTGGGGAAAGAAAGTTTAGGCACGAGTTGTGGCAAAAAATGCTGATCAGAAGATCTAACTCTAGCCAGACGTCCACCACAGGATTCCTACAAGATTTTGGTCAAATAACTTAAGCTAAATATTGGACAGGTGATTCTTCAGAGGAGATCCAAACTGCTCTGAAAAGCAATACCTCAGAAGGAGATGAAGGAGATTTATGAAGACAAGGAATACCACCTTTATTTTGTGCTTTCTATGTACCTCGGTTTAGACCTTGGGTTTTGATTTACAGAGCTTTGGAGCAGTCACACCTGCAACCAAAATCAATAACAGGAGCTGTACTTTGATGGCATAAAGCATTGTACAGTGCAGTGCTAACATCTCTGGGGGGAAAGACATCCAAATACAGATCCTAAACACTGCTAGCTGGGAGCTCAGAGCTAATGGAAAACCTGGACCTTCATGTCCCTGTACCCTGCTTCTCCACCTAGACAGTCTGAATAATAATAATACCACTCACACACCAAGGACATCATGAAAATAAATGTAATGTATATCTGAGAAGCATACAGACTGTAAAATAAAAAGCCACAAGCAAATTAATAGCTTTGTCTTCAGAGCAGAAGAGGCAAGTAAGAGCACAAGAGGTAAATAAGGCACAAAGCCAAGAAAATCAATGAGGAGGTGCCAGATAGCTAAATAGCTCATTATACAGCATGGATGCACACTGTGCCCTGGAGGAGAAAGGAATCCCAGGGAAAAATATCAGTATCTTTTCGTTCTAACTGAAGATTGCATCAGAAGACATGGATAGAGAGAGGTGATGGCCAGTGTTTGATGACACAGTAGATCTAGTTTAAGTCTTCCTAGAACTGGGAAATAGGTTGAGAAAATATTGAAAATAGTGGTTCCGTTTGAATTTTTTTCTGAAAAACGAAAATTTTAACAAATTTTGAGGAATAGTCACAAGTTTTAAGTTCATCAACTCAGGCTTTAGGTTTCTTCAAGAATTATACTTTTACAGAAGAAGCGTGGAAAGATAGGACTGACAGGTTTGGCACTGAGTGCTCCGCCTAGTTTAACATTAAGAGTACTTGATTTGGAGTTTGGTGTGCTTGGTGTGCATACATTGCACTGCTGATGCTTCTGAAGGGAAAACTCAGCACCGGTTTTAAACATTGGCTTGTCTTTGTCTACTTGATTTTGAAAACTTAACAAACTTAGAGACCTTTGTTGCAGTGTGGGTCAGTTTTAGTCAGTTGGTTTTATCAATATTAGTTAGCCTTTATGTTCCCCCATTTGTCCCCTTTTGGTTGGTTTAATCCAAGTAGTTTACCCCAAAAGTTCCTGCCGCTTGGCTCCCCAGTTATTTGTCAATCTTCTCACCTCTCCCTGTTTTCTCCTTATTTGGTTCCATCAATCTGAGTTTGTTTATACCTTTTGCCTGTCAATCCTGTAACCACCCCCAGTATCTTCCAGAAAGTTTTGTATCAGTCACTCCAGTTTAGCTTTTCTATTTGTCCCCTGACCTTGTACCTACCCCTGCTACATTATCATAGGTTGTTGTATCCCTCTCTGGTTTATCCCCCTTGGGCAAGACAGGTTTGCACCCCTGCCCACCCACCCCCTATTTAAATTGCTGTAATCTTTGATTTCTTTGGCATTTGTCACTGCACTCACCCAGAGGGCACCTTTCCTGCCCCACCTGGGTAAGTAAAGGACTCTTTGGGCTGGCATACAAGTGTCCTCTCTCATCCCTTCCCCTCCTCTCAGCGTGCAGAGCTGCCCAAGCTGGGCACCCACGGGCAGCACCCAGCACCATGGGGGCAGAGGATTCTCCCCGAGGTGCCGCTCACGGGGCGGCCGCGCGGCCCCACACGGCTGTGCCAGCCGGGCCCTGACACCGCCCGGGGCCGTGGCTGGTAGACACCGCAGACCTTTCCTCCACTCCTCTCTCTGTATGTAAAGGCTGGGGAGGGTTGCTTGAAACAGTCCCCAGCACAGAAACAGCCAAATTTACCTAGTTGCATCACTGTATTCAGCAGATAGCTTCAAATCCGTTTTTACCCTACCTATGAAATATTTGTATACTGAAAAATACAATGCAAGATTCCAAACTAATTTCATTATGCTGCAACTTTAATTAAATTATTCCTATTCCCTAATATAAGAATTTTTGAAAAACATGCAAAATACAATTTTTATTTTCTTTTCTGATGGTTCTTTGGAGAAATGTTTTTCTTTTGTTCCTTCTGAAAATGTCCATCATTCTGAATAATCCTTCGGCTCAGAAGAAAACTTGAGTGCAAGGGATTTTTCTGAAAACACTTTTCTTTTGTAGATGGCCAGACTTAGAGCAGAAAAATTCTGAAAACAACATTCATTGTTATTCTTGCTCAAAATCTTCAGGTTTGTCTTTTTGCCAAGTTCAAAATTTTCAACAACAAAAATTCATTTTAAAGCCTGAAATACTTTTTTGTCATTTCTTTCCTCATTCAGTATAAAACTCCTCTGTGCCAAAGATGAATTAAATCTCCCCAAAGCCAAAACTTCGAGTCAGTTTTTAACCACATTGCACATTCAATCCCTGAAACAGCAAAGACAGAAACAGAACAGCATTTCAGTAGGCAGTTACCATCAGGACATTGTAGCACACTCTAGTTTGTTGAAAAAATATAATATCAAACTGAGGCAAAATCTGTTCGGTTCCTTGGCTACATGAATTGCTGGATTAGACAGTGCAAGAGGGATGGAGGCTTCTTTAACTTGTCGCTTAGGTTGCTTCCCTTGTGCCTGTGAACCAGTACAAACTTAAACATAATTAGCTTTTTCCCCCTAAAGTAGCATTAATTTTGAGTGAGACACCAAGTTGCCAGAAGGGTGTATCACAAGAAACAAGGTGGCCATTTGATCTTGTTGTACACCATAGTGTTCTTCAAATGGGACACAACTTTAATGTATGCCTACTCTATAGATGCTTCCACTGCCGAGCAGCACACAGAAGCTTTCATACCGAAGAGACCCATGACCAGAGTGTTTTTCTCCAGTGACTTCCAGAGGCATAAACTTACAATGCTTTTACTGTTCTTCCTAAACAACATGAGCAGTAGGCACCCCTTGGCCAACTAACCATGAAACCCAAGCAGCCAACAGAAGGCCGCCAATGGCTCCAGGGGAGCAGAGCAGGAGGACAAAGGCAGTGCTCAGCGTGCATGAAAAACAAGCTGGTCTCTAAAGAGCTAGAGCACATCCATCCATGCTCCCAAAAATCACTTCCCTTTCTCCTTCTCCTTCTTTTGAGCCAAAGACCACCACACAGGCTTTTCTTTTGAAAAATGTCTTTGTAAGTAATGATTTGTATAGCATTTTCTTTTCATGGTGTTGATGCTTTCAGTTTAAACCTTTATTTAGCTGAAAAGCAGTTCAAAGGACTTGACGGTTGCACTGTTAAAGATCCTCCCACAACATGCTAGCATCATTCCTCTTCAAGATACAGGACTGTTCTCTCAAACAAATCGGTTTTTTGCAAAATATTTTCATACATTTTCAGCTAAAATTGTATCCCAGTGGAGGAATTTATCAATTTCACTTTGCTCATACATCTAAAATCAAGCACAAATACTTTTAGAGTCTATTAAATATAGATTTTGTGAAATTCCCTGACCAATAATGGGGAAACAGGGCTCTAACAGTGAAATTTAAAGTCTTAATGTTCTCAGTTCAAGTAATAAAGTTCAGGGCCTGAAGTGAAAGAAGTCACATTAAATAAGCATAACAAATCTTACAGTGGAACTAGATCATCATCATAAGTCCTTTCCAACTGAAATTTCTATTCTATTCTATTCTATTCTATTCTATTCTATTCTATTCTATTCTATTCTATTCTATTCTATTCCATTCCATTCCATTCCATTCTATTCCATCCCATCCCATCCCATCCCATCCCATCCCATCCCATCCCATTCCATTCCATCCATTCCATTCCTTTTAATTCCATTTTGTGCCATTTTATTGCATTCCACTCAATTTTGTCCTTCTACAGAAAAATCTTCATGGAGAAGATTCACAGAGGAATTATCTATCTCAGATGTCAGTTAACTAGCTTTCCTAGTTTACTTTTCATTGTCTCATGATCTCTACTATTGAATTTTGTTTGTACATCTTATATACATTACATTCTTATAATCAAGTGTTAATAGGTGCCGTAAGTATGTATAAAGTATTTTTCCCCCCATTATGTTTTTTGTTCTAGAAACTCAGCAAGAAAAAAATCAGAAGTTTAATAATTGACTCATTTTCTGGCATTAATATTCCTTTGTATATATTTGGATTTATACTTTGTGTATTTCATTTTTGCTTTGTTGTTTTGCTGTGTTGGCTGGAAGGACTCTGCTAAAATTCACCTGTCATTCAGTTTAATTTCTTGTGTTTAGGGCTGTACAACATTCCGTGTAAAGTTAATCAATAGAAGGATTTATGAAACATCGAAACAGAGCAGTCTAAAGGAGGAAATTATAGTCAGTTCCAGTTATTAAAGATTTCCTATACTAAATTTAGTATAAGAGAATCCTTATACATCTTCTTTTAGGGTATTTGTCAAGTGCATAGACTGAAGAAACAATTGTTGTTGATTCCACTGCAATGTGTCTTTATTTGTTGCTTGCTATTTAATGCTAGCTGGAAGGAAGCAAACCATGTCATGTGGAGGTGAAATACTGATTTGATTTTAGTCACTAGCAGCAGCTCTTCCATTAATTTCTTCTAAAATTTTACCTGATGTGCAAAACCCTGTGCAATGGAAAAAGAAACAGCAAATTTTATAAGATGAAAATAGGATGAAAATATACATGACTCTGCATCCTTCCTATATTCAGCTGTCTCACATTCCAAGCTGCATTAGGTACATATATACATATTCATACATATAGGCATCTACAGGCATTTATATCAGGAGTATATAAAAAGAAACAGCTTTATATATCATTACCTACTTTAAATGCAGGATTTGTAGTCAAATACATTTGTTTCTTTCCAAGATTAACAAAACATTTGCTTCAATATTTATCAAAGACTTTTGACTCTACTTTCGTTTCTTCTCATGGCTAATCAGAATGCTTTATACTTTATACAGCAAATTTTATTAAGATATTTGTGTCTCAAAACACTTTGACTACCTAAAACTTATATAGACTTTTAAATGCTTACTTTGGAGGGGTTGAAGAGATTGACAATTTTGGTTTTGGTACTTTAGCTTACAGACAAAAAATGCTTTTTTAAAACATAGAATTTCACATGCAAGATGAATTGTCCCTTTACATGATATAAATATATATATGTATGCATATACATATATTTTTCTGCACATATGCAAGCACACACACATGTACTCTAGGAGGTTTGGTTACCTTATAATATATTAGAAGTATTTATAACAAAACACTCACCTATCACAATGTACTCAATGTGTGTCTTTCATAAATCAATTTGTAAATAATATTTCAATATAGGAACATGCAGATCTCTTAAGAACTTTTAAAAAGGAAATTATCTGCAGATGTCAGTGCAAATCCATTTCTTGTTTAATTTATCCATTTCTGTAGGCACTGACCTGAAGTTAAAATACTTCATTTTTTTTGTTCTCTCCAAGTGTAATCTGAAATCTTAATGAGTTATTCATTTTGCTTTTGTGAACAACAAAAATTATTGTATAGTTTCCATTGTTTCTCTCTCAGTTGCCTAGCATGCCTCTGGTACTCCATGACACATTAGTAAGTGAGTTGCTACTGATTCATTCACAATTTAAAATATTTTTTCATGAAGTTCTGATTTGCAGACAGCTCCTCTTGCCTCTTGTCCTTCCTTCGCTTACAAACTGGAATATAATGGGACCTGTAGAGAGAAAATAATAAATAAAAAACTAATTTCATTGGCATACAGAGCACACAGAAAACTAGCTTATGCAAAAGGCAGAGTGCTCAAACTATATGTTTTCTTTTCAACATGACAACACTGTACACTCATTTTAAACAAAAAAGTTTAATAATGCTGAATACTACAACAAATCACAAACAGGAAAACAAGGTCTGGTTCAGTTTTTGTTGCCACCTGTTTCTTTTAGACGCTGGTCAGCAGGCAAAAGGAAAGTTTTCAATTGCTACAATTTGTTCATGTTAGTACTACCCTTGTTCCTCAAAACGACTCTTTGCTTTACAAGAAGATTCTTTAGAAATAATTATCATTTGCATTATGGAGATCAACTTGTACACAAAACAATTTTATCACTGCAATGCATGTATATTTACAAGAGGTGATGGTCTTCTGTTAATTGCACAATAGAGCTTAAGATAATAAAATATATACTGTAGCCAAATCTGGATTGCTTCTGAAAAGGAGTAATTTTGGGGTCAGACAACAATCTTTCTGCTTCAGTCCTCAGTGAAGAAAAAAAAAATAAAAAGGACAGTCTTTATCTTGCTAAGTTTCTATTTTCAAATCTTTATATTTCCTCTTGGGACATATGATATGGGAACTAGAGATAAAGAAAATATCAATAAAAAGAAAAATATTATATGGTAGTGAACATTATCAGAGAGTGAAACTGCAGAATAAGTTGCACTGAAATCTGTTTCTAGTGACATAACAAATAAGCTGAGAAGTACTTAAAAGCATTAATAGGGATGAGACTCTGTCTTTACCACTGGATAGGATCAGGCTCCATTTTGGGCTCACTCAGTATGTGCTGTATGTATTCAATGCCAATATTCAAGACACAGTCCTGTAATGTCATTACAAGGTCCCATCACAGTCACTTGCGCATTTCCTTTTGCACAGCAGATTTTTTTTTTTTTTTTGATGGGGGACAGGGTCAACAGTCAAGAAATCCCTGCCCTCTAATAAGACAGCAGGAGAAGAAAAACACTTGCTAAGCACTTCAGCTGTTCTCAGATTCATAAAAAACACCATGTTGTGGAGATGATAATGTTTCTTTTTCCTGTTGGTCAGCTGCTGGGAAGCCCTTGGAAATTTGCTGGGTAAAAGCTCCAGAAACTCTGAGGTGCTTCTTTCATTCACCTTGGTACAGGAGCTACGGCAGAACTTCTAGTGCCAGATGCACCATCACAGGCAACATTTCCCATTATGCTGGAGGGAGGGACAGGAGCAGCAGTCCTCTCCCCGACATTAAAACTGCTAAGAACAATAAGGAAGCTCTTCAGCTCTTCAGAATGCTGATGGAAATCACAAAAAGTGTGACAATGTAGACAATGGCAAGACACTGATGCCCCCAAGAAGGGGAAGAAATTTGGGACCAGGGAGATAAGGCATCTGAATTATGCAGTTTGGAAGTTCAGTTTCAATTTGTGCTCATACTCAAACCTGCATCCCCTGGGAATCAACACAGCACATTTCAGTTTCTATGTTATGCTGACAAAATCTCCCAGTTTTGCTCTTTCTCTAGTTTTGTACCTTTCACACTGCAGGAGAGTCTTTTTATCAATCTTAGTCTGTATCCCAACCTTCTTGCGTAAAGGTTAAAAAGAATGTATTGATTATACTGTGAAGTGTGCCAATGACATTTCTAAGGTTGTGTCATACAAATCTATAGATAGCTAGGCAGTGTTCATGCTTGATCAAGTTCTTGTTATTACTGGGAGAAGCTCAAACCTTAACAGATGAAAGATGTTTTTCAAATTACCTAGCTCTGTAAAATATTTTTCCTGATTCAGAGCATTTTAACTTCCACTTGCTCTTAATGTACAACAAATCACAGAGGAGTCTACAGAAAGGAACTGTGATGAAATCCTGGTTATGGGAGATCTGTCACTAACTTCAAAGCGGTCAGTATTTCACTTCAGGTTCTTGATATAAACAAGGAATATAAATCTTCGTTTCTAAGCAAACATTGATCAAGGTAGTTGTGTCAGATCTGCTCCTGGGCCTTTTCTCTGCATGTTTTGCAGCTGTCACATCATCCCTGAAGATATTCTCCTCTCTGCTTCTGCAATGGGGCAAGGAATTCTGAAAGTCAGCACCCTGCTGCTGCCTTACTGGGCATTAGGAGGTCCAGGAAAATTAGATTGGTGAAGCTTGGCTTCTCATGGATTGGCATGCTATGGTCAGATCTTCCAGTGCCTCTCTGTGGAACAGCTGTGACTGATACTCTCCATGCCACTGAGGCATCACAGTGCTTCTCCTCCCAGGCAAGATCTCTCATTTGACAAGGATTTCACTGCATCTGAAATTTTTCCCTCAGGTTGACACAAGAAGGTCTCCCCTCTCCCAGCAGTCTATTTTTGTGAACTTTTTAGGAATCTTATGAGTATTAAAACTGCCAGACAGCTGAAAATCTTCTATAAAACTTGTCTGGTCAGATAGATACATTTACAGAGATTGGCAGACACAAGCACTTAAGACTTGCTTCTGTAGAAAGACAAGTTACAGAGATTTAGACTTTTAGCACTTTTGTGACAGGATTCCTCAGTAGGTATTCAGGCTTTAGTCACAGGAGCTCAAAAAATTTCATCAGCCCTATCCACCCTGGAACAGCTCTGTTCCACACAGTTTTTGTTGCCGTTACAAGTAATTCTGAAGCCTGCTGACAAAAGGAAAGAAAAAATGCAATAACCCTTCAAGGGAATAAACAAATCAACCTTCGAGTCTCAAATGAGTGCTGAGACACAGGTCCCAGGGCTGACACTTGAGCTCCAGACTTTAAAATCTGCTTTGCCTGTGTGTCAGCCCTGGCTGTGAATAGCGAGAGGCTGAATGGCTTTCTTGCCGTCAGGAGTTCCTTACAGGAGCGGTTCAGTTCATGAGTCATTGGCTAAGCAGATGTCAGAAAGCATGATATCTAAAGTTGATTTCTGATGGAAATGTCAAAGGAGGTGTCTCTAATGCTGAAGTCACTTCTCAGTGATGGCTTGCTACTGGTTCATAACTGCTTTCTGCTCTGCTTCCATCTACCGTGAAAGTTGCTGTGGTGCTACCTTGAATGTGTGCTCAGACAGAACTAGACTGGATTCTGTTAAATGAACTGGATAAGCCAATCACCTAGCCAAAACTGATGGCACACTTAGTGTACTGAAACTGTCCATATTGCTATTCCTTCTTCATGGGCTAAATACAGAACCTTGGAAATACAGAGTTTGTAAATACATAGGAAGGAGAATTCACACTTTGTGATTTTTTCCTAGCAGCGATTCTCTCAAAAAACAATGAAGTTACAGATATCAATTTGGCCCTATTCTCACACCCCCATCTCAAAATATGATGTCATAGAGTCAAGTTCACTAAGAGCCTGCTATTTGTGAAGTGTACACCAAGCTTTGATCCAGGACAAGAAGATGTCTACAAGATTTGCATATAAAGGAAGTGCCTTTTTTTCCCCATCTATTCAGAGGTGAATTCAATCTTCTGAGCTTTTGTTCTCCATTTTAAATTTTTTTCTGTCAAATAACTAGGTACAACCTCTGAAATATCTCAATCAGTTCAAGTAAAAATAATAAATAATAATAATAAAGCATAGACAGTAACTTTTTCAAAGCTAGTCTGCATAGGTAAGAATGGAACTAAATTTTCTTTTATCCTCATTCCTCACACCATCTTAATTCCATAAAATATTGGTAAGTTATATGACAAAACATACATAGATCACATGTTCAAATATAAAAGGGAGGAGTAAACAAGATTAAAGAATTGAGAAATGTTTCTCAGTAAATTATATGTCACATGCTAGGATTTGTGTCAGCTCTACTAGACTATTTTCTCTGCTGTCCACACAAATTTCTGTAGCTTAAGATCTTTCTCATTTTACCATATTCAGATTCCTTTTTAAAAATTCACATCTTTTTATCTGTACTATCTGGAATTTAATACTGTGGAGTTTTTCCTCTTTCTGAAATTATCAGTTCATCACCTCTCAAAACAGCCACACTTGTGGTATAGTTATCACTTTATCTTGCAGAATGTGCAAAATGCAGACTTTGCTAGGTCCCTCATCAACTTATTCCCTATGGTCCAGAACTTTTTTTTTTTTAATTGTTTCAGGTTTTTATTCAAATAAGTTTATACATTTACCAGTATTTTTCCAAGCTTCATGACTCTCCCACAGAGACTAAACTTCATACACTTGATGTTCTTAGAGCTATGTCCTTTCATCTTTCTAGAACAAAGCCATTTTGAAAATCTCTCAGGCTTTTTGTAGCTTTTGGTAATAAATCCAGGGGGATTTTTTTTTCTTCCCAGAGGCTCTCAGAGGGGTTTCAACTTGTATGAGGGTCTCACATGCATTGAAAAAACTGTCCCTCCCCTCTCAATTAAGGCTCACTTTACTGAGGCTCAGGCAACATCTTTAGCTTGTTTTAGGGGAATCTTTAGGTCAGTCCTGTGCAGGGCATCTACTTAGAGTTCAGTTCATGTGCTCACCAGGCATTGCTTCAGATAAGAACTTCTGCGTGAGGTCTCCTGGATCTGTTAATTAGACAAACATTTTATTGCCTGCCTTCTTGTGAGGTAGCTGCATACCGAGGGATCAAGGTGGCCCACTGCTGGAGGAACAGGCTGTCTTGTGATATTTAAAGTTCCCTGAAATGCTTTGGGGTAGATAGATGCCTTGTTGCCTTCCTGCCCCGACTGGTTTAGAGTCCTTTAACTCAAGCTTGTATAGACAACACCACCAGAAGACTGAGGCTACTTTGTCTTTTTATATCCTCTGTTGCAACATACAGAGAAGGTACATGCATCTGGCTTAAATGAAAAGGGCATGTGTTCGTGAGGTACACACAAAAGCATGTCATGAGATCATGAAGCCAATAGCATTACAAGCATGACTCTCCATATTCATGCCACAAAGTGATGCTACCAGCACACCTGATAACCTTCTCCAATATAGC